CAAGTGCATGACACAGAGATGGTCCATGGTGCCAACGTCCACTTTTTGGTTTTGTGTATATGGCCTGGGAAACCTTGGGTTCATTTTGGTACATGTCTTCTGACTGTGTGCCTTTAAAAGATGGGGTAAGTTATAGAAACTACTGACAAATTTTACCTATGACATGGTGAGATAGAGTTTTCAAAACTAGAATTCTTTGTAAGTGATATTTTTGATGGTCTGGTTACACGTCCTTTGGAAATCCTATGCAGATAAGTTGTGCTCCCATGTGAGATGAATCAGGTCTCTGAGGGTGACAGCTAGAGAAAAGACTGCTTCTTCACTGGTGCCTTAGATGAAATGATTCAACTTGCATGTGTGAGCAGATTTATTTCCAGGGGGTGGTTTCTTTACCATGGAGCAGACGCAGATTTTGTTCTTCCTTTGAAAAAATATCCTTTGGCTTTTAAAGCATGCGTTTTAGTGTTTCTACTAGCAAAGAGCTAAAGTGTGACAGTGTCAGAGGATAATATAGGACATTATTTTTGCACTGTTTTGAATTATAGAGGCTGTGGTACTTGTTAAAAATGGAGGGAGGGGCAACCAAAAGTATGTTTATGAAGGGCTTAAAGTTTACTTAGATCTGTTCCGTGGTCTGGAAACTAACGTGTCAAAAGGGAGATAATTTTAGCTTTCACAGGACTATTTAATGTAGTAACGTTCTGGCCAATTTCTCCCGAGAAGAATGGAGACCATCCGATGCAGTGGATGAAATCTTGTAGGCAATACATAGTAGTGCATGGGATTGTGAATTTCATTTGAAAAGTGTTACTTAATATAATTCTTGAAGAGTTTGCAAAGTAAAAAGCTTTGGAATCAGTTCATATCCAGCCTGGAAATGAAAAGTTTGGAAGTGTTCTCTTAAAATGGACAAAACAATGGACTGGGATGTTAAGAGACTTGCATTTTAGTCCCACTTCTGTCGTTAATGAGCTTAGTTACAGTAGGCAAGTCTTCAGTTGCCTTATCTGTAAAATGAGACACAGAGTTTTCTGAACATTAGTTTTTAAGTGAGGACGTTTTTTTCTTCCAAACAAAAGCTTATACACTAATCTAGTAAGTAAAGTAGCGAAAGAGAGAACCCATTCCCTCGGAAACTGCAGGTGGCGAGCCTAAGGCTGCCTCACCCGAGTGATGCCCTCACCGCCATGCAGCAGCATGAGAAGCCAATGGAACGTTTTGGAGGCATGGTATCTGACGTCTGTTGAGTTCTCATTTTTTATAAGTAAACAAAGCAATCTGTTTTTCTTGCTAGGACACCCCCGGGAGCAATGAGGAATTAAAGCAGAAGTGAATTAGCACCTAGAGATTTCCTTGAAAAAAATACTCTGAGTTATTTTAGTTTAACCTCTCATGTTAGGAGAGGAGGGTTCAAGGGACAAGTTGGAAATTAGGTTTAAGCTTTTGGAAGCTCTCCCTTTCTACCTCCTTTTTGTGGCACCTTGTTTTGTGAGCACAATGCAATTTCTGGTTTCCGACACACTTTCACAGGTGTCTGAACTACCTCATGGATTCACACTGTTGGCAGTTTTGCAAGGATCCCGCATCTTTGAAAGGTTTCTTTCTCATAAAGAAAAGGGAAGAGGGTTAACAACCTGAAAAGGCAGGTCATTCTCTTTGAATCCTGATATAAGGGGAACATTGTTTTGACAATTCTGAATCTCTAGACACGTGATCTTGACAAAGCTCTCCTGGCTGGGAACAGCTTTGTCCCATGTGTAGAAGGGCTTGCAAGCTTACAGACTGTCTGCTCGATGGCCAAGACTCGGGCATCCATGACTTATTTGTGTAACACAGGTTAAACGGTCTCAACCTCATTCCTTTGCTTTCTCTTCTTGAAATGGAGGGCTCTGGGGAGAAAAGGGAGATAGATGGATTTGGGGAAGGAAGTGGTTCCTTGACAGGGACAGAGGACATTGTGATTAATCCTAACTTTTGAGATTTTTGAAGGAAACTGTGGAACTATTCAGCAGTTATGTATTTATGATCTGTATCACCACCCAAAATAAAGCATAGTGGTAATTTTATAAAGGCAGGAATAAATTTAAACATGAGAGAGGAGCTGATGATGAAATATGAATGAGAAATGCAAATTTGAGGAAAATACTAAGTTGTTTTAAAAACCCATCATGTGAGGCTTGAGTGAGGTATTTATATTTATTACTAGATATAGAAATTTATTTTCTTAGCACTCTATTTCCTTAAAAGGAGGTAAAATCAGCTACATGGCAACTATTCCTATTTACGAATGACAGTTACTTCATACTTTTATTTCTAACTTTTTGTCCCTAAATTACATTTTTTTTAGTGTTTCTTTTTGTTATACTCCTTTTCCCTAGCCTGGAAAATTTGAAGAACATTGCTTTCTTTCTTTTTTTTTTTTCCACTCTAATAAGACTTTACAATTTTTTTTCCCTAAACTCAAAATGCAAAAATTATGATGCTCTAAAAATGCATGTGTAAAGGACATCTCCATTTATACTGAGATAACAGAGTTACAATTAAAATGCAATTTAACCTTCCTTCTTGTTTTTTAAAATAGTTGCTTACGTTAGAAATGACCTTACCTATCATTTATCATGTAAAGAAGGCATACGTTTACAGACTCTGCGTTTTATGGCCTGGACTTGAGTGTCCATGACTCATTATTAGCAAACATAGTTCTTAACAATACTCTCTCGTCTAAAACTAATAGAACATGCATCCAAGGCACCACGTGTTTAGGGTCCAAATACCTGTTGCCCTAGACGTGTGGAGAGTTAATGCAGCTTCCAAAAGCTGTTTTGTTCTCCATCCATAGTCTGTGTTCTGTGACAACCTGATGCTCACGAGCTCACGTTGACTATTTTGTTATTTAATGTGCACTTTAAGAATTAATAAAAGCAAGTCTTGCTAAATATCTGTAGGACAGATAAAAGCAAATCTCACTACACATCTGTTTGACAGCAAATATTGCACAAAAGACCTTCAGCGTTTGGTGTGTTAATCCTGAAGCAATTCAGAAATAAGTTTCTGCAGGCAAACAAAATTATATACTAATTACTGGAACATGGCACAGAGCAAGTGAGAAATAGAAATATAATCGTCAGCACGATGTAACAATATATTTGTGACCTTTCATATGAACTTCAAAATAAAATAGTTTTCCTTTCCAAGATAATTTTTTGTATTGTATTTACAAGCTGATCTTTAAAAAAATATATACATGGTTTGGAGCCAGGTCTTCTTTAAAGAGATTTTATTTTCCCGATATGAAGTGTTCCATAGCCCAGTAACTAACTCTTATTAAATGCACACTGTGGGTCAGGCACTGTTCTCAGCTTGTATGGGTTTTACTTCATTTAATGTTTAAAGCAATCTTATGAGGTAGGGATTCTTATTACTGTCATTTGATAGATGAGGAATCTGCAGACACTAAGCAACTTGCTGAAAGTCAAACAAATAGTGAAAGATGAAGAGTTGGAACCCAGGCAGTCCGACTCCAGAACCACCATATTAAGTCACTACCCCGTATTTCACAGATTAAGACCAGAGCTAGCTGATCTTTTGAGGAATGAGAGAGAAAAATATGACACAGTTGCATTGAAATAGTTCTCTCCTCTAGGACTCTGTTGCCTCCATCTGAAATGCTGAATTTGAGGCTTAAGAATGAAAGAAAAAGGAATCGTACATGACTTTACCCAAAAAAGAATCATCATCTGGGAAGCAATTTTGATATCTATAAAAACTACTTTAAACGTTCCAGATTGCTACAATATCGGATGGTTTTTCTGGAAATGAAGTTTCCTAGAGAGCTCAGAGCTTGTTCAACACCAAGGCTGCCACTGGAGCATTACATATTTCATCTTCTCTTTTGGCCACTGTGATAGAACATTATGCCACTATATCATAACACCAACCATCATAATATGGACATTGAGAAACTGTAGAGATCATGTGTGAGAAGATGACTCAAGCATCTGGGCCTTTCTTTAGGGTTTTGAAACAGGTCATGGAGATCCAACAGACCACTGCTAACCCAAAATATCCACCTGTGAATTGGATCTTACAGTACCCGGAAATGTGTGGTTCTATGGAAATTCCATTAAGTCTAGCATCCCCCCGCTCCCGCCCCGAGGAATCTCATCTTTGTAAATCTCAGGACTCTGGGTCTCACTGATTTTCTTATTTGAAGACTTTGGGAATTTGGAACTAAAGCAGGTTTTCTAAGGTGCCTGAACCATGGACATTTAGTACGAGACAGGACCTTGAAAACCAACTTGTCTGACTCTTTATCACTTTGCCGGTGAGAAAACCAAAAAGCAGAGATTACAACTTTGTCTGATGTCCCAGAGCCTGTCAGGGACAAAACCGCAATGGAAAGCAGGTTCTCTGGCTCTAAGTTCAGAGTTTTTAATGAACTGACTTGGCCTTCATACCCATCATAGCCCCTGGCCTTTTAGATCTGTGGACATGAGTCTGTGGCGCTTCTTCTTCTGTCCTTTTCAGGAGTCTGTGGCTGAAGTTGCCACCCAACTCTGTGACAGAACAATCAACACCACGTGGAATAGCAGAGAACTAAAACACTACCCTGAACACTACATACAATACTACTAGAGATTATATTAGTGTTCTTGCACCTTCTGTAACATGGGAGAATGTTGTTTACTGTTCAGTAAATATATAGCCATAATCTTATCTTTACCCATACCTTTAAGAAGCATGGGTGGAGAAAACCATGATATAAAACAATTTTTCACTCTTTACCTTACTACCAATTATATTGTAGATTTTGAGGAAATATGATATTTTGCTTATGGAAATGTGTGCATTAAACCAACGATCGTTTCCAGTAATTCCTACTTGTAAAGGAAGAAAAAAAGACAGATTGAGAAGTTTCTATGGTCCCGAGAGCTGACGTGCAGGTTCACGCCAGTTATGACCCAGCTCAGGTGTGGTATCACACAGATAAGAAGACATACCAGGAGCAGCTGCAACAACAGCACCAACAAAAGCAACACGTATTGTTGGGCCTCTGGTTTCCAGGTGCTTGAGACACAGCAGGTGTTTCTTCATTCTGTGACTGTTGCCTTTTTCGCATTTCAGCTACTGCAATGCCCAGTTGGCTGAAAGAAGAGAGAAAACATAAGGTCTGAAAAAATTATGATAAGGGTAAGTCGCCTGTGCTGAAGGAAGCATAATTTAATTGAGGGGTCAGGAAAAGATAGTTTGAGAAAAGGTAAAAATGAATAAGCGTTAGCAGTCAAGTTGAAAATTCCCCAGAAATTTTTTAAGGGGAACATTCTAAAAACTTTGGGAACAAACTTCTACCATTATCTGCTACATACAATCTTGGTAAGTGTTGCCACGTAATCAGAATCAGTTGGCAAGGTAAATATGATAAGGTTTGAAAATTTATTTTTAACTTCCTTCTGTACTCAAGGATGATTACACCTGCTTGCCTTTATGAACGCCTTTAAATGGTTATGGGGGTATGAATAACTCGTTTCTCTGTTCTAATTTACAATACAGTTATTTGAGCTTTACAGATCATTGCTGCAAGGTTTCTAACTCTATAACATGGTGAAGAACAGTTTGTTTTTGGTCCTCTCTCGTCTCCTTTTAAAACATACAGTCTCCTTTTTGGTACTCTGGCTCACCGTCCAGGGGCCTTCTCTTGATAGTATGGGCAAAATGCCTTACTCTGTGTTAGGTGTCCCTGTAGCAAAGGCATCACCTCCCTGTCCTGCACTGCTCAAAATTTATTTTCATTTAGTAGATAACCGTGGAAAGACTAAACATTTATCAAATCCAGGAGAATCACTTTGGTGGAATTTATATATCATGGCAGGTAAGAAAAATACTGAGGTGCAGGCTGCCCTACCTGTGACTTTACAGATGCAGCCAAGTGAGTTGCTACAGATTTAGAAGACAAACACTGATCTAGGAGTTAGTTGATGATAAAAAAATAAAATTTTATTTAGTAGACTAATATAAAATTTAGCATGAACTTTTAGAAAAAGGAATGAATTCTACTGAATAATATTCTCACAAATACACAATGTATGTAAATCACACATATATATTGTCATACGTGTGACTGAGAACAATACTTGTTAAAAACATAAAGTACTTTGAGCTTTTTTGGCATTGTGAGCTCATGCTTTAAAAAATACATTTTCAGTTCTGAATACAATACTTTAAAAAATACTGTATTCTTAAAAATAAGATAAACATCTCTTTAGACCAGAAACAGATGAGAAAACCACAATGGTAGATAAATGGAGGTAAAGTCACAGTCATTTTGTAATTCAGGTATGGGAACAGAAAGGTGCAAAGGTTCCAAACTCTAGTGGGGTAAAAAATGCTCCACTGTGAGTAGTGGGAGACCAGAGTTCAGACCGGAGTTTTACCTGAATAAAATCAGCAGCTGGGTTTCTGCCACTCATAAAAAGATGCTAAAAAAACTATCTGTACCATCAATGGTACCTAGCTGCAGGAGAGAGGGGATGCATAGAGAGCCAATGAAACCTGACCTAAGCCAAACAGCCCACAGGTTCTGTGACTGGGCCAAGGATGTCTCCAAAGCCATTCCTGGATGGGAGGAAATCCTGAGATGCCAGTGAAAGAGCTACTTTGGGACTGAAGGTCTTGGGGGACTAGTGGAGACAACTGAGAAGCATTATAAAGAGTGAGAGCGAGAAATACACCTCTTACTCAGTGTGTTGCCTGAAAGCAAAAAATCCAATTAACACTAAAAACAGAAAACCAACTCAACAATCATGAAATGAATATATTCCTGAGCAAATGCAAATAACAGAATCATCCAAAATTAGTGTAATAAACATATGTTTAATATAAACAATGTGATAAAGGAAAAAACTGTTCATATAAGAGAACAAGAAATTATAAGAACAAATATAGGCAAAAATGAAACAAGAATAGACAGAATGAAAAATGGAAAATATAGAAACAAAACACATAGCCATTAAAAAGATTCAGATGGAATAATAATTTCCCAAAGCCACCCCCAAGAGAATAGGAGTCAAGGACTGTACCCAGAATCCAGTGAAAAGAGATAAAAAGATGAAACATAAACAAGGGAATTGAGACAAGCATAGCAGTAACATTGAAAGACTCCCCTATGTGTCCAACAAGATTTTCATCATCAGTAGAGTATTAACAGAGAATATTAATGGGAAGTATTTTCAAGGATACTGGCTGGAACCTTTCCAGAATTGGAAGGAAAAAACAAACAAAAGCCTTACATTGAAAGAGCATACCACATGCTCAGCAGAATTTATAAAATAAAAGTAAATCCACACATATATGCATAAAAATAGAACCACAGAACTCCAAAATAAAGATATAAGCTGAATTACCCACAGAGGAGTAACAAGCACTGACAGCAAAATAGTGCAGCAGTCAGACAAGAAAAAGAAATAAAAGTTATCCAGACTGGAAGGGAAGAGGTAAAATTATCATTATATGCAGATGACATGATACTGTATGTAGAAAACCCTAAAGACTCCACACAAAAACTACTAGAACTAATAAATGAATTCAGCAAGGTATCAGGATACAAGATTAACACACAGAAATCTGTTGCATTTCTTTACACTAACAATGAAATATCAGAAAGGGAAAGTAAAAAACAATCCCTTTTAAAATCACATCAAAAAAATAAAATAAAATACTTAGGAATAAATCTGACCAAGTAGGTGAAAGACTTATATGCTGAGAACTATAAAACATTGATAAAGGAAACTGAAGATGATTTAAAGAAATGGAAAACTATCCCATGATCTTGGATTGGAAGAATTAATATTCTTAAAATGGTCATACTACCCAAAGCAATCTACAGATTTAATGTGATCCCTATCAAATTGCCCATGACATTTTTCACAGAACTAAAACAAATGATCCTAAAATTTATATGGAATCACAAAAGACCTAGAATTGCCAAAGTGGTCCTGAGGAAAAAGAACAAAGCTGGAGGCATAACCCTCCCAGACTTCAGACAATACTACAAAGCTACAGTAATCAAAACAGTATGGCACTGGCACAAAAACAGACATATGGATCAATGGAACAGAATAGAGAGCCCAGAAATAAAGCCACACACCTAAGGTCAATTAATCTTCAACAAAGAAGGCAATAATATATAATGGAGAAAAGACAGTCTCTTCACCAAGTGGTGGTGGGAAAGCTGGACAGCTGCATGTAAATCAATGAAGTTAGAACACTCTCACACTATACACAAAAATAAACTCGAAATGGCTTAAAGACTTAAATAGAAGACAGGACACCATAAAACTCCTGGAAGAGAACATAGGCAAAACATTCTCTGACATAAATCATAGCAATGTTTTCTTAGGTCGTTCTCCCAAGGCAATAGAAATAAACACAAAAATGAACAAATGGGACCTAATCAAACTTATAAGCTTTTGCACAGCAAAGGAAACCATAAACAAAACGAAAAGACAACCTACAGAATGGGAGAAAATATTTGCAAACAGTGCGACCAACAAGAGCTTAACTTCCAAAATATACAAACAGCTCATACAACTAAACAACAAAAAAACAAACAACCCAGTCGAAAAATGGGCAGAAGACCTAAATAAGCAGTTCTCCAAAGAAGACATACAGATGGCCAATAGGCACATGAAATGATGTTCAATATTGCTAATTATCAGAAAAATGCAAATCAAAGCTACAGTGAGGTATCACCTCACACCAATCAGAATGACCATCATTAAAAAGTCCACAAACAATATATGCTGGAGAGGGTGTGTAGAGAAGGGACCCCTTCTACACTTCTGGTAGGAATGTAATTGATACAGCCACTATGGAGAACAGTATGGAGGTTCCTTAAAAAACTAAAAATAGAGTTACCATATGATCCAGCAATCCCACTCCTGGGAATATATCTGGAAAAAACTCTAATTTGAAAAGATACATGCACCCCAATATTCATAGCAGCACTATTTACAATAGCTAAGACATGGAATCAACCTAAATGTCCATCAACAGATGAATGGATAAAGATGTGGTATATATGTACAACAGAATACTACTCAGCCATGAAAAAGAATGTAACAATGCCATTTTCAGCAACATGGATGAACCTAGAGATTATCATACTAAGTGAAGTAAGTCAGACAGAGAAAGACAAAAATCATATGATATCACTTATATGTGGTATTTAAAATATGATACAAATGGACTTGTTTACAAAACAGAAAGAGACTCACAGACATAGAAGACAAACTTAGTTACCAAAGGGGAAAAGGGGCGTGATAAATTAGGAGTTTGGAATTAGCAGATACAAACTATATATAAAATAGATAAACAACTAGGTCCTACTGTATAGCACAGGGAACTATATTCAATATCTTGTAATAACCTATAATGAAAAAGAGTATGAAAAAGAATATATGTACATGTATAACAGAATCACTGTATAACTGTATGTATAGCTGAATCACTGTATAACTGAATCATTCTGTACACCAGAATCTAATAGACCACTGTAAATCAACTATACTTCAATTTTAAAATGTTTTTAAAAATAAATGTAATCTAATTATTGGGGGAAAAAATATATAGAAGAAAGCACTAATAGCTTCAGAGCAGGAAAAGGATTTCTTACAAAACCAAGCCAAAAGGGAAAAGATGATTTTTGATACAGCTAATTTATCAAAAACCTTTGAACAAATAAAAGAACGTAAAGTAAAAAACTGAGAACCAGACTGGAAAATACAGAGGACTAATATCTATAGCATATACGTAACACATCACAGTTTAAAAATACAAATAACCTAATAGAAAAATACGCAAAGGAAATGTGCAGACTGTTTACAGAAGAGGAAAATACAAATACCCCAGATTAGATGAATAGATGGTCAAAACTAGTGACTAGGGAAATTTAAATAAAAAAAATTATTTCATATCCAAATTTCTGACAGGTAAAAAGTCACACAATACCAATCTGGGGAGAGAACTTGGGTAATGAAAAGCTCTCATACAATCATTTTGAAGAGTAACATTGACTATGTAACAATGTAGTTAACAATATACATAACTTATAACAAATTCCACTTTCATGTTTATACTTTGAAACTGT